GTGGTCCTCTGGGCTTGTGGTCCTCCGGTTTGTGGTCTTCTGGTCCTTTGATGCCGTGTTTCTCTGGTGCTTGGGTCTTAAATTTTGCAGGAAGGGAGGATTGCGCGGATCATTTATTTTGTTTGCAAATGGGAGGGTCTGNNTCACCATGTTTGCAGGAAAGGAAAGCTGTGCGGATCATTTCGTTTGCAAGTTGGGGGGCTGCGCGCGCCACTCCCCCGCTATTTAAGGCCACCCATGTATGCAACAAGAAAAAATAAGACAAAGGCATGGTGCTTGGAATGCTTCACGAGCTGTAGATTTCACATGACGATTTGCGCAGCAGATATTGGAAATCGCCCAATAATTATCATGTCATTTTGCTGTTGTGTTGGTGTCATTCTCTCGTCGTTGGGGCGTGTCATTTTCTTGGCCTTTGTCGTTTGTAGTTGTTATCTTAATGTTATTCCTGTGTCATTCCTGTCATTTCCAAAACAAGGCCAGATCCACAATAACTCCAACATGACACCACCTTCCAAAAAGACATGGAGAATGATAAAAAATGAATCCCGAGGTAGTTCGAGAACGAGAAGGACATGATATGACAATGACAAAAAACCAAAAATTGACAATGCTCCAGGAAATTGCGTCCCCGGCACCTCCCCCCAACCCAGGGAGCAAGGGAGGCTCCATTTGGTATTGTTTGGTATATTGTTGTCATTTTCTTGTCATTTTCTGTCGAGACAAATTAAAATGACCACGGGCGATGACCAAACATTCCAAACATGAAAAGGAAATGACAATGCCCAACGACAATACTGAGCAAAATGACAACAAGCAACGACGAGAAAATGACAAATGAATGACACAAATCAGAATGATTTGATTTGGACCTTCCCTGTATCTACAGCAAAGCGTCATATGATGCAAACTACAGCATTTACTGGTCTGGGAGCATTTCAGTGGTGTTGCAAATTACAGCATTTCTAAGGGACCGTGTGACCGTGGGACCACAGGACTATGTGACCAGAAGGCCACACGACCAAGGGACACCAGAGCCACACCTTTGCCAAAAAAAACGGACCCCGTCAGAGGTGTCAGAAGCTTTCGATTTGATATTCGTATGTACCTGCCGCAAAAAAAAAAGGATTGTACCTGACTGCCCCGAGGCCATCAGGCTTGGCTCCAGCTGTTGCTGCGCCCACCCACAGATCCACAGTTCTCCAGGAGATTCAAGTAGTTTTTCAAGACACGCGCAATCTTCGTAGCACAACGAGGGCATGTGGAGTGCGTGCTTCAAAGGCCACACCTAGCAGCCGATCCAAGTCTTCAAGAAGAATGGCGCGCAATTCCTAGCAAGTTCATGCATCTTCGACTGCCTAAAACAAGCAAGGAGCCATCCAGCAGTTTTCGTTGCCCTGCCTGTTTCTTGGCTTCTGTAGTAATGCCGCCTTGTGGAACAGGTTGCATTCTGAAGCTGCATTGTTCTTGTCTTGACTTTATAATTAGTATTATACCAAGGCACAATGCTAGCAGCCTCGCAAAACATATCAAAACTTGCCAGCCAGTCCTGTTCCATTCTGCGCAAGCCATGCAGTGGCCAGTTGGCATGCCATTTGGCAGAACCACAACAGCGCGATGATCGTTTGCACAGCATTTAATTCTAGGACTTTCCGGAACTACGGTGAAGCCCGGAAGGAAATACAGCATATAGCAGACATAGCAGACAAGTACAAGTCAATGGGACCAGCTGTGAAACACGACGTTAATAGGTGGCGTCTTTCAGAACTTGCGACGTTGCTCTCATGCAGTGCATGGACAGCTGTGAGCCACCCGGTGTGGATCAGGCCAAGACATCCTTCAAAAGGCATAAGATTGCATAAGCCCATCGTCTGTGAATGGCTGAGAGATAGCAGATCCTTTCTGGACAGAATCCGTGATTTCAGGCGCCAAATTCTAGTCCGGTCGGGAGGCCTTTGCCCGAGCAGACTGCGCGGTTCCTAGAGAACAGGTCACAACGTGTTGTTGCAACCATAAGTTCCAACTGCAGGTTGCCATCATGCGCTTCATGTGCGTGAACTGAGTGAAACTAAAGGATCTTCTCAGAGAGGTGTATTCGATGAAGTACCTTCAGGCTTTCAGCAACAAAGGCGCGAAGACATGGGCTGAGGTGGTGCCTAGAGTCCAGCTCTTGCATACACGATGCCTCATCTTGACGTTGAGAAACCTCCTTCACGAGATCATCAGCAATGTCTTCTGCCATATAAATCACCTGCCGAGCGCACGGATCTGCAGACCATCACCTTGATGTAGCAGCTAGCTTTGCCATCTAATGCGCCTTCATTCGACCCAAAGAACTGGCAGGCAAATAGACTGGCTGGGGCTGCCACATGCCCCTTGAGTGGATCTGCAAACCCTGTTTAACCATCCTTGAAGAAGGCAGGCCTAGACAGCTGGGCCTTTTTTTTGCTTATGTGGGGCGTAGGGTGATTAGTCGACTTCTCTAGCCGGAGCATTCCAGTCCCGCTCTGAAACAGCCCCAAAAAGGCGAAACGGCCATAAGAAGCAGGCTTCTGGCTATCGGTTGGGTATCATTTTTGGTATCGTTTCGAGCTGGAAATAGAAGAGGATGTAGAGGTTGCAAGATACTCAAAAGGACCGGTTGTGTAGCGGTGCAGCCGTTTTCAAGTTTGACACGCTCAGTCGCTAACAACCAGAATCCCCTCACTCCCCTTGGTTTCACTTAAGCATATGGTGCTTGCGCAGGATTTGTGAACTCAGAAACGCACACGAAACCATTTCGGGTCAAAACATGGAATGCGGACAGGGGCTACAGTACTCCATCACGTGTGACACGATGCGTCACGATGCGTCGCGCTCGGCCCTCGGGATGGCTATGGCACATTTAGGCTTGATAATGGCTTGACAGTGACAGCCATGCCCCTCCAGCTCCGCGCTCGTCTGCATCGTTTCGAAGATCAAGCAGGCATGGGTTCTCATTGTGTTGTTGATGTGCAGTGCGTATGTTTTTAGCCCTGGCCATCTGCTGGTGGATTTCCCATCCAACACCATGTCATGAACCACAAAGCTTCCTAAGTGTAGCAACCGGTCATCTTAGAGGGCACGCATGCATCCTCACAGGTGCCAGTGCCTCAGGGCTCGCGCAAGCCAGCAGGGCCTTCGCAAGGGCACTTTTGATTATGTGGGGCGGCATTGGCATGCATCGCCGCTTGGCCTCAAGAATGGCAGGCATTGAAGCCACTGCTGGTGCAGCCAAATGGACGCAGCTCCCAAATCCGTCAGATACCTGCGCTGTCAAGCAGTCACGCAAGCCTGCCTAAGAGCTCGGAACCTTCAACATTTAGGGTTTAGGATTTAGGGTTTAGGATTTAGGGGGGTAACTCCCAAGTCCTGAGCTCTGTGCACTTAGCCCTGAGGCTTAGGCAGTGGGAAATTCACGAGGAGTGCCTGCGCACCTCTACAAATTCTTTCCCTACTTGGAGGTCCGTTGTATCTATAACCTACTTAGTAACTGTAGTTATAACCCAATGGTAAGTCCCATAACTACAGTTACCCTAGATATAATTGGGTTATAACTACAGTTACTATGTAGGTTTCAAGTATAACGGGCCTCCAACTAGTAGCAACCGGATCTGGGGTCTAGGCGTTGAGGAGCTTAGCTTTTATACAAGTTAGAGTTGCGACACCCTGGTAATGAAGACTATCACCAACATAGTACAACTATATGAGCTAGAGTCTAAACTGCAAGTATCCCCTGTAATAACCCCCTTTAAAAAAGTGGCGGGTCTCTCATCATGCCAGGGGAGTGGAAAGGCATTTATCCTAAACCCAGTTTTAGAATCTCCAAGAGTTCTCCACTTGTGTGGAAATCTCAACTGATTTAGAATTTACAGGTAGGTGGCACGGAAGAATTTAAGGTGAGAAGCAAATTGATGCTGCTGCAATGAGGATATGCCAGAAGCCTATTGCTACGTCTCGCCAGCTTCCAACATCCAGTCAGCTATGCTGCAAATCTCGCACAAGGTTTGACGTTCCGAACGTGTTTAGATGCTTTCGTGTGGCCAGATGGGAGCATGATGGATTTTGGGGCATTTTGGATGCCAGAACACGCCTCCTGCCATGCGGCCGCTTGCTCCGCATACTGCTGAAGGATAGACGGCAATGTCTGGGCAGATTCATCTTTGAACCACGCAAACCCAAATTCAGCTCCAAACTGCACAAAACGGCGCAGGCCTGCGCCAAATGCCAGCAGCAGCTAAAGGCCACCTCTTCAACAGCAGGCTCCGGAACAACGTCCTCAGTCAGAATATGTCAGCAGGTTGACATGTGAACGTCCGCTTGAACACCAGAGATCAATGCCGGGCCATAATCCTGAACCACCTTCAGATGGGGCCTGGCCAACAGGAACAGCTTTTGATACCTTGTCTCTTGACCTGTGCCACCTGCGTGCCCGAAGCATTTCAGCTCCAAGTTGGGTATCAGCCTCTCGAAGTTTGCATTTTGACGAGAAAGGACTCAAAGCACTCAAAGCGGTAACGGCGCTAACCTCGCGGAAAGGATTCACCAAGGCCGTGAGCCAGCCGTCCTCACTTTGGGCTTTACAGTGCTAGGTTTGAGTCTAAGTGCTACTTCTACACGTCGACATGCAGGGAGAGCAGTCGCCTCTGCAAGTTCAGCGTAGAACTCCACCAACTCTTCAAGTGACTTCTGCTTGCCAGTCTCAACCTGAGATTGTTCTTTACAAGGCCATTCGGTCACCAGCTTGACTTGGCCATCTGTGAGCCCGCACTTCGTACACCCCCTCTTCTTCTCGCCAGGCCTGTGGTATAGTTATATTTTGCGGCCTTTTGCAGTGTTTTGTTGGCGCCTGGTCGGCGTTGACAATGAGCAGCCCATGCCCCTTGCAGGCCGTTGAAGTTTGCAGGCTGGAGGCTTTCGGGTGCTTCTACCACCTGCCTTCTGCGAATCCGAAGCTGCGGACTCCAAGGCCTTCCGCGCGAGTTGGAGACTGGGGGCCTGAGTATCCCAACATCTGGAATGTCAGGACTGGGCCCAAATGGGCTAAAAGATGCTGAGAAGCGTGCAATGCCACCAGGCAGCGCGTGGGCTATGCCTTCAACTATGAGGGCTGCAGTTGCCTGACAGCATGAAGACAATCTCATACTACTGACCTGATCAGAGGCAAGTAATCACGCTCGGCGCCCACCTTGTCAGCCTGTAGAGACTTGACAGCTTCCGTCTTGGCAGCTTTCAAGACCTTGCAGTCTGCTCAGCGGATCACTGGCTCACACGATGTAACAGGCGTTGATATGCTTTCTCGCCACCTCGCAGAGAGCTGCGAACCATCCGAAGGGGAGCTGACCGTCAACTGCCTCTGTGTCACGCCAGCGCTCCAGGTTTCACTTCACATCACTGCAACAAGCAACTTGACCAGTGGGAGAAAACTTGCGAAAGATTCAACTGAGGCTCCATCTAGTGCCATGGGTGACAACGCCACGCAGAAGCGCAGAGAAGCAGTTGGTAGGACCTGCAAGGGCTTGTTTCCTGCAAGTGATCCTCGCAAGTAACCCGCTCCGACATGCTCGCAGCTCTGTTGAGGAACAGCTTATCTCTTCAGTGTTTGTCCAAGCTGCGCTGGGCCCTCCTCCCTGCAGGATTGGAACGGCAAAGTGTGGCCATCTGGAGTGCCTGCATGTATGGCATGAAACTGCATGAAACTGCATGAAATGGGTGACGGACAGCCGCACAACCATCCCCAAGGATGCGGCCAGTTCGAGAGATCATCAAGTGTCCGCAGAGGAGGTGACACGAACTCGGGCGCCCACCTTAAGAAAAACATATCCCATCCTTTTGATGCTTTCGATCCGTGCAACTCTCCTGCATTCTCCCCTTCCCTCTCTTCTCACATCATCGTGCAGCCAGAACTGAGGGCAGCAACTTGGAGAGCGCATGCTGCAGAAACTCGAAAGATCCCAAGTTCATGGCGGCTGCCTCAAGTTGCAAATGCGGCTCAGACCCCGCCTGACTTCGCATACATTCACTGTGGAACTTGCTTCGTGTCCCTTTGACTTTCAGCCGCTACACGGTGCAACGGCAGACTTGGATGGCACCACGATTTTGGCTCTGATTTCTTACGCCGGAGGTGGAAAGCTTCATCAGTGCCTAGCTGGGCGGTCGACTACAAGCACGGGCATGGCAGCCTTCCACTTTGAGCCGTTAACTTTGGAGTGTGGTACGCCGTGGCGGTGTGTATTTTCAGTGCTTTTTAACGTTATTAAGATTTTTTCTCTCGTTTTTGAAGGTTCTGTCATCAACGCCCTATGCTGCAGTTCGCCCTTATCCTAGTTAAGTCAACAAATTTTCTCCCTAGCAGAACTAATGTGACACAATAGAACTTCGACAAGTGCTGCTTAGTATATCGCGTGAGTCCTCGCCCATATGGCCAGTTCAGCTTGTATGGGTTGTCATATCCATACTTGTGCTGGCAAGATTTATATGGGTATGTGTAAATAAACACACCAAGATCGGCATAATATATGAACATATTTCATGGAAGTGTATGAGTTCCCATGCGACATATAAGCATTTGTGACAAAGATCTTGAAATATTTGCAATTGTTGTGGAAGCCCCCTCGCATAGCCAGATCCAATACTCTGTAGAAACCCTACCTGCAATACCAAAATCTAGTCGGGGGCGCATCCATTCCCTTCAGAAGCGTTCTCTCGCGGAATATACCATTTGTGGCAAAGATATCCATATACTTGATGCTGTATTGAAGACGCCTTAGGTAACCAAGTCCAATAAATGTGACAAGTCTTGGATGCAATGCCACAGCGATCAATTGAGTCCATCCACACCCAGCCACTTTTTACTGGAGGGGAAGGTCATGCTGCATGCATATTGATTGCCATGAAAATGTGATCTCCCGCAGCTCTCCAGAATCTACTCCTAGTAACTATATCCACTTTCGTGGGATAAGCCTCTTCCAGAATGGAAACAAAATCAAGAAAATTCGAATCAGGGAGGGAGAGGCCGTTGCTAGGGGATTGATGCATCCTCGGAATCCAGTTCCCGGAGCCCCACAAGGAGCATAGAGAATATGGATATGAAAACCTCTAATTAAGAGCTATACTGATCCTGGTGTAGGGGCCGGACTCTACATACTTCATGATGTTAAGCAAGATACCTACATATATAGATATGTAAATACATGTATATATGTATAATGGATACCCCCCCCACATCCTCTCCCTAGGACAATCTACTTTGACAGATCTTGGGTGCAGCTGACCGCGTTATACCCACGCAATATCTTTCCTAAAGCAGTGGGAAACACCGCAATTTACCATGTTCTTTGGCGGTTTTCACCTTTGAAGCTGGATGCTTCATTTACAATATGCGCTATATGAATCATACCAAGATAGTGGTGCATCTAGGGACTATAGCCTAATACATGTTCTACTATTATTTGCTGTATCACGTGTATTAGGAGAGACCTCTCCCCAATGTATCAATATTTGGTAAGTTTCTCTTAATATAGCAGAAAAAGCTGATTTAACGCATTTGGCGCTGGACCCAAGTAGTCTAACTACACGGCATCCAACCACGCGTACATGTTGTATTCCTCCTTTATGAACGATGTTGAAGTAATGATTGTGCCATGCTACCGGGCTGCTACTTGTCATGTTCCATAGTATATCTGGTTCGAATTCTGGCGCTATTTCTGCTAACTCGTTTTTTCAAATGAAGAGAATTTTGTGGTGGCCTGGCTTTGCTATTCACTCATAATATTTAGAAATGCCTATACATGTTCTGCAGGTACCTTTTGAAGGAGCAAATCTAACTTCAGAAGGCAATCAACGAAAAGAGTAATGTACAAGGAAGCCGGTGAATGGTATTTCTCACCGTGACAACTACGCGTGTATTTTTCATTTCTTGCTGATAATAAAAAGTACATGAGGAAGAAGGAAAGGAACGCCGAAAAGAGCCTGGGTGAGGATCAAAAGGAGGGAGGCCATCTAGGAAGATCCTCTCCAGAACTGCTGAGATTTTGGGACTCTAGGGAAGCTCTAGGACGGCTTCCGATAAGCCCTGAGAGTCATCAGACCAAGGCCTTGGGGGGGGGATTTTTTTCGGCCACACCCCCCTTCTCCTTAGTTCAGGTCTTGGTTGATCTCACAGCTTTCCCACGGCCATCCCAGGGCTTCCACACTGTCTCCCAAAGTTCTAGAGAGATTTTCCTAGATGATGCTTTAACTCTTAATTACAAAAAGCACAATATGTAAGATTTTCTGTTCAAATCTGAACCACACAAGTACACGCCGCCAGGGCGTACTGATCTGTAACTTTCCATGCCATTACGCAAATAGTGCAAGTGTAAGCCGTTTCTCTGTTTTTTGTTGCGACCTCGAAGCATCTGTTGCAAGTCCCTGCCAGCAGACTTGAAAATCTCAAACTTCTAGCGACTCTAGACAAACCCAACAGCTTATCTGCTCGTTTGGCGCGTGAATGAATCTTCTAAATGGTTTGACTTAGCATGGTTGACCCATTGATGTGAAATTACATATTATTTGAGAAGTCCGTTTTCAAGCGAGCAGTGGGTGCAAGTTCTTGTCTGGCCCATGATCAAATTTTCCATACTTCTTCTGCAATCTCGTTCTATCTTGTTTTACAATGTTGTACATACTCGTGAGCATGTCGTACCAGACCATCTTGGTTTACCAGGCTCGGACTTGATATCCTTCTAGGCAATCTAATGCTCAAAGCGAGCAAAATTAGGCACCTCACACATCCTCACGCGGGCAAAAGGCACCCCACTGCCCCTTGGACGCCCCCGTCGGCTAAAGGCACCCCACATGGGCAGAAGACACCCCACAAGTCACAGGCTGCAGCTGCGACAGCATGGTATGCATCCAAACCTGTAGGATCCTGCAGGCCCCAATCTCCATGGAGACGTGCTGAAACGTACCACGCCGAAAGCCTTCTTACTTTGAAATGCTGCATGCTATGACACTTCACAGCACCAGACAAAACGACCGAACAGTCTTGACTCTTTTGCAGGTCGCAAGACCAGGGAGACCCAAAAACAGAGTTTGGATATGGTATGTGTACATATATATACAACTACATACACACATATACATCTATGTGTATATAACTGTATATATATGTATAAATACATATATGGTCACCGCACAATGATCTACCCTGCTCTTCTTTCATGCCCTGCTTGTCCTATCAATGGGGTCACTAAGGCATGTGAGAACTAGCCAAAAACACTGGTCTTCACGGTGTTTCTGCCTTTTCTATTATGTTTATGGCTTGCATGTTATATGTGACATAGGGGCATCTAAGCCCCTAAACGTGTTGTATATATACATATAAACATACGCGTGTTTCCGGCTATGTTTTGGGGTATGTTTCGAGGTATGTTTCGTAGTACTGGGCTCTTGACGAACTGGACGTTATGGGGGTATGTATCAAGGTATGTATCGAGGTATGTATGGACGGATCAAGCATGCTCCTTTTCATGAATTCCTGAGCCCCAAATAATGGAATAATGACATATTAGCAGTGGGGTAAAAGTCACGCTGAGCCGCGTGAAGTCAACGCAAAGTCACGCAACGCACGTAAAGTCACTCCAGGAAATCTGCAACGCCAATGTACATGCGTTGTCCAAAGCAGCTACTGCAACTAGCAAAACTGTGCGTGGCATGTGGCTTGTTGGTGAAAAGGACCCAGCAAATCCCAAATGTGCATGCACATTGAATCTCCATGCACACGTGCCTGCGGCACGACTTCACACAACCCGGAACAATTAAACCGCGGTACTACTTGTGAATAGGCTGACTGAAAGGATGGAGAAATCTAGGAACTGCAGTGTGGACACCCTTGGGAAACCTGCCACACAACAGAATCTGATGTGCAAAAGACATGCTACTACTCAGGAATGCCCAGTGTGACGAGCTGCTTTTCCCAAAGCGGGACGTCTTAAATCAAGCATAAGCACCTCGTACCTGGTTTTGCAGCACTTCAGTCTGGCTTGAATGTCGCAAAACAATTGCCTCCACTTTTGTTGTTCAAAACCCTTCTGCCTACCTCCACTTCTGGCGGCTGGTGTTTGATGCCCTCGTGAAGAGCAGATGACTTCCCTGTCCCCTTCGCCAGCCCGATCCAGAGAGGCTTGCAGTCTGATTGGCAAGCGCGCTTATGGATCAATGGCAATGCTGAGAGCTGGCGCTTGTGTAGGAGTGGCATTGCTTTGACTTGAAAGCATTATTTTGAGCAGTGTGCAGTTGCTGAACGCGCTGGTCCAACCACCAACCATGACAGAGACCATACATCCACATGGAAAGCCGCATATGCCGCATGACCACCCAGCACATGTTGCGCTGCAAAAGGTCTGCCTTCCAAAACTGTCAAACAAAAGCTTTCTAGGACAATGGCCCCCGCATCCAGGAGCTGGTTGCTCAAAGAAGCTGTCAGCGAGAGCTCCAAACTTTCGTCAGAGCTGCCTGAAGGGCCCGTGTGGTATGCACAAGCTCAGACGAGCAAGCGTTTTATTCAGCGTATAAATGCGCACCTAGGCAGGACGCCAGCCCACTGCATTTTTCGTGCAGCGACCTCCGCAAGCAGTGCAAGCCACACAAAAACTGCAAACGAGCCTCACAAGACGTCCCAGAAAAGTGAGGTGAATGCTTGTGTTCGCATTTCAGCATGTCAATTCGCATGCACGCTCTCGGATTGACATTCAAATTCAAGCAGCTTGGCAAATGCTTAGGATCCTGCAAAAAATCATCCACGTAGACATCTTGTAGCGATCCGCTGAAGAAGTCCTTGCCAAGACGACCACATTGCCACTGGCTCCTTTTATATGCTGCTGAACACACGCGCACCGCTGAAGTCCTGCACTGACGCCACCATCTTTTCCTCGTCTCTGCCCTCCAGAGTCAAAACGGATGATGCTTGATGAAGTTGCAATCTCTAGCAGTTCTGATATCTCCAGAAAATCAACACAACGACACGAATCAGTCAGGCTCGTCCGAACAAATCTGTCCTTGTTTTCCATTTTTTTTCCGATACTTCGTGCGCCGATTTCAAGATACAAGCGCTAGAAGGGTATCGCAAGGCTAGCAGTTTTGTTCACAATGCTTTTTCTCGGGTGGGCCTGTTACAAGCCCCAAGTTTTCGCCTCGCAATCTTTTGCAAGCTTTGAAAAATTATGAAGCAAGGCAGTGCTTACCAACCGCAACCTTTTTGCATCTCAAGCAGCTGCGACAGCCCGGCACACCATACCCAACCGCAGCCCTGCTGTTTTGCCCATACATCCCCAGGACGGAAACTTATGCTGAATCAAGAGAGTTCAGAAGCATCATTACAAAGAAATCTGGTGCAAGTACCGCCCTGATTGCAACTGCCAACATCTGTCAGTTGCAAAGCTTGATTTCCCGACAACACATTGACCTGATCACACCTGGCACAGAAATCAAAGATTTGAGTGGTTCTTCCTGTAGACTGTAAGCGAGTTGAGGCAAGGCTTGGGATTCGCAGCGCTGGGCACGTGCCGGCTGCCAAAAGGAATTCTGACGTGATCTTGCGTATACATGATTGGCACGAGCAGCTTCAGCATGGCGCACTTATGTCAAGTTATGTGCACGAAACTTGTGCATGTACATGAGCTCTCCAACATGTCGGGATGACGGTGTCTAATTGTGACCATCGACTGATTGACTTGTATGAAACACATGGCTGGGCGGTGACCATGCCAGAAGTTATGCTACAGGCACGTGCCGAATGCACATACACAGACTGCCAAATGCAATTAGGTTTGCAATTTTGTAGCATAAAGTTACCGAACATCGCAGCTTTGGAAAAACAATCAAACCATGCACCATGCGCAACGTAGAGTAGGATATCACTTCACTTTGCAGGTGCATGGAGTACTAGGGAGTTGACCAGACGCCGTTTCCCCATGGTGACAGATTCCTTGGCACCGGTATCACCACCTGCCTGTCCTCATTCTGCATGCATGTTGCTGTCGCAATGACTCATGCTGAAAAGCTGCTTTTGCAACAAATGTCAGTTGCGTATAGTTGCATGTGAATGTCAAACCAGCGTATGCTGGAATACTGCTTGGATCGACTTGCAGCCGACATTTTGAATGAGCATGCATCAAAACAAGGTGTGCAAAGCTGGCATCCGACACTGAATGCTCTGTTTTCCAAGGCGCGGGCCTGCTTAATCGGCAAGACTTCCAGGTTAATTGCTTGGCTCTGTCTGCTGTGCTATTGCTTGCTTTGACTCTGACAACGTAGATTTTTTCTTCTGGGTGACGTCGAGGGAGGCAGCCTTGCTGCAGCTGGGTGCGTTCAGGTCAGACACACTGTATTTGCATAGGTCCATCAGACATGTGACGAGGAGCCAACAAAAACTGCGCATGGATTTCCAAAACGTACGAGTTAACAAATTAAATCATACGATTTAAGCCAAGACAAGACCAATTCGCCCACCTCGGCCCAAACCTCTTTTCAACGCCAAAACTATAACCCCCCCCCGGCCCTTTAGTACTCACTCACCCCAAAGCTCGTTTTGCTTTCCACATGTGGCCTCCTTGCTCATACTAGCCCGGCTGCCCAAGCGGAGGCCCGCTAGCGCTTCCAAGTAGTCACCGCGGCCGCAAGAACCATTCAAACCGGACCGCAGGGACTTTGTCACAATCTCCGGGATGTGCGGGATGCGGGCACATGATATACGTTTTTGTACGTTTTATGTTTCTTGTCTGGGCCCCGGGTCAGTGGAGGTTGGTAATGTGTTATCGCTTTCCCGCGTTTTGGAGGGCTTTATCGTATTGGTTTGTGCATGTGCGTGTTTCAGTTTCCACCCAAAAACACCTTGACTGCAGTCCCAAGTCCATGTATGTCGTGCATCCTAAGACGCAGAGAAAAATTGCACATCATAGGGAAGGCAGTCACAGTTACTCTACCACGTCTCCATCGCAGCCACATTTGGCGATTGTTCAACATTCCTTTTCTGCGGGCTTTTGGCCAACTTTCGCAAAAAAAGTAAGTTTGTTTAGCGTCTCCCTGTGCGAAACTTTCGCGGAGCCTGTTCTCACATTAGGGTGGGTATCAATTTGGATACCAACATTTGAAGGACTTGTTTGCATATATGGTATATTTGGGCATTTATATGGGTGTTATTCAAAATTACTTCATGACAGAATGACCTCTTCGTGGAAAACTCAAATTCCTTTGGCCGACGCCAAGCCTTGAACTCTTAAAAGCACCCATGCCGCATGCACTCAAGTTCGAAAGCCTGAGAACTAACGGGATTAAAGACNNNGGCTGGGGGCTTGCTCGGCTTACGCAACCTTTCGCGGATTCTGGAGTAAGAATTCTGAGATTGAGCGTGTGCTTGGGAAAGACTTGCAACCATTTCACCTTTGAGCATCCCTGTTCACTACGAGGCTGTTCACAAAAGTGCACAGACATGGCCAGGGAATACCTGCGATAGATTTCGCTTGGCGCAAATCGGCCGGGTGATAGTAGAAATCTCCCTGCGATCGGACTGC